CACCCGCCATATTGGATCAGCCATCTTGAATTTTTACAATGTGAATTCATATTCGTAATCAGCGACCCAAAAAACCCCTTTATACAAAATCTGGTCAAAATCCGCTCAGAATTTGAAAATAGCGATTCCTGCTCGGTTTTTTGAGGTTAGAAAAAAAACCACACGTTCTAGCTCAATTCTGACAGTGGATTTGAATTCAGCAGAGTCTTTTACATAAAAATGTACTATTTGATGTGGAAATAAATTTTTTTCCAAATTTTCCCAGTAAATTTTCATCAATTTTCACTATTTTTCACAAGTTTTTCGAGGTTAGGAAAAAATTGTGACGTGATGGGCCAATTCTGACCCCAGATTCGTGTTCAGGAGGCCAAATTACTACGAAAAATATATGTCGCATAAAAAGTATACCCAACTTTTTTTGTGTGTGGCTTTGTTATTAGAGAACATGTGTATGGAACCATTAATATTGATTACGTTAAGGTTTAGGGATTTTTAGTTGACAGTTACAATCGTGTAATGTTGGATGCCTGAACTCGGTAGTCACGTGACTTACAATCATCCATAAATGCTCTGTATTACCTAATACAAACAAAATTCATAGTTATACCTATTCAAAATCAATGACGTATTGTTTTATTTCGATTATAGCCTGACTGATGATTATTGGTTCAATAATTATATGAATACAAATTGCAGTTACTCAAATACCGACATAGAAGAGTTGACAGAACGTAATTTACACTTTGTTATGTGCAGAATTAACTCAATGTTACAAGTAATTGTGCGAACAGATAAATATTCATTTATATAACTGTTATTTACGAGGTACTCTAAACTAAATCTGTAATAAAACGATGTTTTATTAAATAAATCCTTGTAGCCTTCACGCCGATTATGACTGGGATTAAGATACAAAGACCGATATATTTAATTCGTGTATTATCATAAATATTTGTTAGAAGATGAAGGAAATACACAATGCCTAATAAATAACGTATGAGGAAAGGCATATGCAAATTCTGGACCATACAACTTCAAATTTATTACCGGTTATTGATGCTTGGAGAATACCTTGCTGTTTAATGAACAACAGAGAGATAATCTATATCTAAATATACTTTTTTTTATAAATTTGGTGTTCTAGATTATCTACACCTTTCTACCGTATGTATCGATCTACTTACGTCCATTTGGAATATTTGTTCGACACGTGTATAAAATTTTTGTGCTTTGATTGCACAGAAAATACGATCGTACGATATCTACAATTTCACTTTTTCCGTAAACCGCCACACTTTCCTTGAATTCACTAAAAAGATTAACCAAGTACACTTAAAGACAAATAGACCAGGGCCGATCTGTCAAAATAGGTATTTTTTAAATTTTTTAAACATTGTTGCAATTTTGAAAATGTTCCGGACTTCGCCCAGATCTGGAGATCTACACTTTTATTATGTGAGTTGTAAACACCGTCCGCGAACATAGCAAATCCGTCGACCTGTCAACATTGGAACAATGATCGTAGAGAATTATAGCAGAGTAGGTTAACTCAGTACAGAGAATGTAACGGTTTATCTAATAAATAAAATAACCTCAAAATTTATTGACCAATTTTATCGAATTTCTTCAATTACCTTTCAGTTACTGCACAGTACAATGAAGCTTAAGATTTACGTCGGCAATAAACGCTCGCGAATGTTATAAATTTAGAGGAGGTACAGGTGAAAATAAAAAATAATAACCTCCCATTGAAACATCACCTTGAATGAATTTGAATAGTTTCATAAGAGCCGTAATTCCTAATTATTTATTACTTCCTACGATAATTAAAGATGTACGTGGATCGTCCTACGAGTCAAAAAAGGAAACATTAATATGGGAAAACGCAACTGCACATTCGTTAATAACTTACACCTCGTTACATAATAAATCAATACGAACGCTTTTTTTGTATGCCCGGCAGGTAACCTAACACGACTACATGTCTGGCATGTTGCTATTACCAGGCTACGACTGCGCGTGTTATAAAACTGTTATACGAGTAAAATGTAATGCATAATGCGCTTGTGAATTACCTCTCCAAGTTCCGGAAGCGTTAAAGCACAGACAAAATAGTTAACGCGCCTGACCGCGTCTGGAATAGGACCATAAATGAATATTGGGGAATTGTATCACAACGTTCCTTGGCAACACTGCCACAGTTGGGAACCGCTAGAGCTGCCACCTATTACCGAGTAGAAGAGTTACCACGCCAAATTTTATTAAACGCGCGGTCTGGTGCGTTAGCTACTTTGTCTGTGGTTAAATTAAAATTTGTGTCGGTAGTAATAAATCAAATTTGCAACCTATTACGTTTACATTTGGTATAAGTAGATCAAAAATTTTGTCCCCATACTTTCATCCTCGAAAACCAAGCCAGGATATTTACAGTTTACACTGCAACTTTGAGTACACGGATTTTACCTTCTCTTATAAGCACAGGCGCTAGATTTCCGCATCGATAGCGCGAGGAGATAATATAAAACGCCTGTATCATAAATCTCGATCAGACAAGGTGCGGATATAATTAAACGAAATCCACGACGACAGCCCTTCGATAGCGGGCGAAGAACAAGGCGGTTTGGGATTCCTGTTAATTAAGTCGCTACCAATTTACGAAATTGATCCGGACCTAATAACCGCCTGGGAACCAGGAGGTATCGAACTGGAAACATCAGATTATGATTTATGCGCGCGGGGTGATTGATACGTGGACATATCACAACGATAATTAACATAAGCATTAGGCGCGCCCGACGTGAAATATGTCATATTAGAAAAGCTTAGTGCAATAAATATTTTAATTGAAAAAAAAAACTGGCCCGTATTAGGAAATACTCGAGACCTGAAAGTGGAACAGTCCGACCATATCTCATATATTTGTTCGTAGTCTCCGGAGCAGGTTATCCTTTTATTATTTATTCAAAGCGTTTCTTTATTTATGAATGCGAATTTTACCGACAGTATTGTGTACGATCTGAAACACGGTTCAGCTTTTCAAACCGCAGGTGTCGATTTTAACATTTATTTTAACTCTTGACACACTTATTTTTTTTTGGGATGCACAATTTATTCTGAAAATTATTATATATGCCTAATGCGGACTCTAAGGAGACTGCAATAAAAAGGATTATATAGTGGACCAGGCTAGGCCTCAAACTCCGGGTCCGAATCGTTCTTACTGCACCCCAATGAAAACAAATGGCTTCTTAAAGGTACGGTAGCCGTGTGCTTGCAAAGACTTTTATGGTATGCGACACTTTTATTAACGGTACTTTGTGATCTGCTGGATATCGATGCGACGGGCGCAGAGCATATGATATGCACGTGCACAGTTCCGCGGTTCCCCATGTTTATCGTACCTACCATATTTTCCTAACGGCTGAAATCTGGTTGTTTTGATTTTTATCATAGGCAGTTATCTTTTGATAATTTAAAAAGGGTTCTAGTAATGTTTTTAAGGCTCAGATGAGCATTTTCTTCGATTATTCCAGGTTCTCCTTAACATTCAGTTTACCAGGAACGGTTCTAATTTTGGACGAGATAATGACGAAGGGTAAAATTCGCTAAAAATTATTTTATATCACGTTAGAGCGAACTCCACAAGCGCATTTCGGCAATCCATCTGCCTGATTAATTTAACTGGGGCGCAAATTATAGTAGCGCCTTGGGGGCAAGAAACCCTTACTTTCCTCACCCGAGTTGAACACTTAGCAAACTTAGAACACTTTGGATTAGGTGTTTGTAATTTTGAATCGATTTCCGTCCTTGCAAACAATATTTCGTGTAACTCTTTGTTGAACATATCCGATTTTACCTTTATTCTTCCTCTAATAAAAGGAAAAGTTAAAATGAAGAATGTATTTTTTACACTATTTTCTTCTTTTTTATATTCAGTGTCTGCAACTACCATGGCATAAAAAATAAGATTGGAAATAGACTACCACGCATAACGTTTACAACCAAAGACGAAACACTTCCGTACACGCATACGGGGTTAATTTTCCTGACTTTTGGTATTATTTAGCACCCATTTAGAGTAGCTTTCATGAAATTTTTCAAATTTTTATAAAATAAATAAAACTACGATTTCCCGTGAATTGCATTGAAAAATGTGGAAAATTAACGACTCACGAGCCCTTTAAAGAGAAGGTACTTGCTAAGTAAAATGTCCGGCGTGGTGGTGGTGGAAGTTCAAATCGATGCGCGCTGTAAAATTTTGCAATATCTCGGCTTCTATTCATCGTAGAAACTTGTTTTTTTAAAACCGGGGTAGCTCGACGAAAAAATTACAATGGTCATATTTACGAATTCGTAGAATAGCCCTGAACCCCAGAAAAAATGCATCTTTTATACTTAATTTTTTTTTATTTTACAAAAATGTCACAAAAATTATTGTTAAACGAAATATTAATTAAAATTTCAATTTCGGAATTATTTTACTATTATTAAATAAATAAATGAAGCTATCGTTCATTTAAAAAGTTATTTTTTTACATATTAAGTCAAAGTAAACTTATTTTTTAGGGGTTACACTAGCTTTTCCAGTGGCGGGGGACGAAAATTACTACAAAAAGGTTTAAAAAAAATAAGTTCCTACGACGAAATTTGAAAAAATAAACTACGTACTTATTTCTAAAGGTCAAAGAAAGCCTCTGTAAAAAAAATAATTTCTAGAACACTTGACGAATCTCATTTTCCAAATTTTGCCAAATTACAGGTATTTGAACATTTTTTACCCAAAATATTCAAATGCTCATACCTTCTTGAAGGGTTGAAATAAAAATTTGCAAAAAATCAGGAAAATTAAAGATGGAATGCTCCATACACAAAAGACCATTCAATAAACAATCAGCGGCTAACATCTCCGCGATCATCAATCACGGCGACGCGTCGCCGCCTCCCACCCCCCAGCAACTTTCCATCAGGACGCATAAGTGACCGATTAGGCGAGTACTTACGTTTGCATGCTTTGCGGTGTGTGATCTGCTTGGTGGGATCCCTGTAGTATCCTTCGCGGCAATAGTGACAGTGTCTGCCCGCGGTGTAGTGACGGCACTTTAGACACACGCCTCCGGACACCCTGCCAGACAATTTGTACAGCTCCATGTTGAATCTGCATCGGCGGGCGTGCTGGTTGCACTCGCAAGCTGGAAATAAACGCCATGTATTAATTTCTCGGGTTCGATGTTTTGCAAGGAAGGCGAAGTTCTAGTCATGGATGCGGTGTTGCCGGATTTGGGGATTTTCCCCTAGTTCTAGGGAAAAATCCCCAAATCCGGCAACACCGCATCCATTGGGGATTTTTCCCTAGTTCTAGGGAAAAATACGCCAAATTTGTGAAAATTAGGTTGATTCGGTTTTCATTAATTTTAACCACGTATTCGGAAATTTAAAAAATAAGCTAATTATCCCTTAACTCCCGTTAACTCGGCACTCTAGTTTGCACCACATTTGCTGACTGGGAACGTGCCACAGCGACCAGCAGTTTATTCAGTCGTCTTACAGTTGGTTTCAAAATCAAAGTGCGGTGAATACTAACTTAACAGCGATATGGACGGATGAGTGAATGTTTTTTTAGCCACATTCAATAAGATATACGTACTACAAACCGAATAATTACCCGAACATAATACTAAAAACTCTTATTCAATTATAAAACATAACTGAAAACGTATAAAATTGCAATAACATTTGAAAACCGTTATTATCCTTATCCTTATACATCTGTTTTAATTAATAAATACATAATACTTAAACAGACAACTAAAAAAATACTCGTTAAGAAAACAGTTGAAACTTGCGAAACTGTTTCTTTAAAAACATTTATTAAAGGGTAAATATAACTTGCACAATTTCAAATTGTTGTTTCTCCAAACGATCGCATTTGCGTTTATTTTTGTAACAATTGTCGTTGCTAGATTGTTTTTACATGGCCTTCTTAGAATTATTAAATCATTTAATTCAAATTACAAAAAAAATTACGCAACGTCGCAAGCACAAAAGTACTTGGAACAATTTATATCGAAACTGATTAAATCTGCTGCGAAAAAAACAATATCTGTTTCCGTCGCCAATGTTAGTTGTTAGTTGAGAAATATTACGTACAACTTTTTTTTGTTTCACTTCCACAGTACCATATTTTATTAAAATTGGGCGACTTGTAATTCTCTCTCATTCTAGTCAACTACAGGGTGTGCAATTTTCACAGATTTGATTTTCTACAAATACGTTATTTCCTTAAAGATACGCAATACGTTCGTAACGTCATATTCAAGACATCCAGTAAGTAGATGCTACGGAAACTAATGTGAAATTTACATTTCTAGTGGTAGGTTTAAGTTTATCTGATGAAGCAAATAATAACACTCGGTTTGTGCTGATGAAGAAAATACATCAAAATAGACTACTGTCTCTTTCCATGATATGAAATTAATTAATTGATATATCTGGTATAATTACTATGGAATACAACGTTACTTTATATTTACTAAATCTGTTCAAAATTAAATTTACTTTTCTACACTATAAAAAAATCGGTAAACATATTTTATAATACATATAATAAACTAAATCGATATTAAATTCCGCAAATTTTGAATTGAACATATCCTCGTTAGTTTTTATAATGAACAGAATTATTAAGAGGAAATTGTGAGCTCTACAACGTTCTATAAAATTGTTAAAGTATTCCTAAAGGAAAAGCTAGATCTATTTTTTTGCTATTTGTCCTCCTCTCATCAATATTTTGCAATGTCCCCCTTCTTCTTTTTTGGCAGATACAAAAGATTTTTCTGCTGTGTCAGTTAAGGTCGTTTTGGTTTTCATTCATTGATAACTGTGTATCTTTTATTGTTTATATTTTTGTGTTTTTTATTGCAATTTTATCATTCTAATTGGGTTTCCTTCCCGTTGGATAAATTAAATGGAATATACAGATTAAATGAAAATAATAAAAGCTTATTATGTATGCAAATCGTAAATAAATGTAGTACTGGTGCATATATTCAATATTTTTATATTATGTATTTTCGGTATAGGTGAGGTGTACTTTTAAAAAAACTTTGTGTAACCGGGTTGTACTAAATTGTAGCAAGGTAGCTAAAATGTAATCCCCGACAATCCGTCTTTGTCTAAAAAAGAATTATCTAGTTAAAACAGTTTTAGAAAAAAAATTGCTTGGTACCACATTCAAAAGGCATTTACTTTTGTACATAGGTACATAGGCTATATAGGCACATATGTACATAGGCTACATAGGCACATAAGCTTGTACATAGGTACATAGGCTTTTGCAACAGGTCTTAATCGTTTCATCTTGGTGCTGAGAGTTTCTGCCTCAGTTTTTCTAGGCCACCATGTAAGTGATTTTTACGAAAGCAACGAGAAATACATAAAATCGCTGGATACCAACTAATTTTCAGTTCACCGCACCTACAATTGTCACCACTGCGTTATAGTAACTACAAAGCGGCGTGCTTTTGTCCAGCATAATCGATAAAATTATTGCAAACGTCATTAACCGTCAAAAACACGCGAATTCCGCAATAACAATGCGGACAACAATCGTTACATTCATAATAACCGCATAAAAATGCTGAAATCAAATCCCCGACCGATAATTAAATCTTGCCCTGTTATTAATTTCGCACACAACACACGCACAATCGGCTTGTTAACCGTAATGCATTCAAATTTATGAAGCGGCGTTTATAATAAGTGGTAAAATAAAGTTGAGATGGATGACATCTGGGGCTGACATTGCCCCAGGCCGAGTACGACTCTCATTACGGTCCTGCAATGGTGGATGTTGCCCCTAAGGCTACGGGGAAACAACGTATCCTGTCTCTGACATTTCGTGCTGTACCTGTACCAGCTCGCTATCTACGTTTTCCATCGTGGCGGCTAGCGAAGAGCAAAAATTAAATTATCTTTTCCAAGACTTGAATAGCAACCACAAAAGCAGCATAATATGTATATACAGGGTGTTAAAAAAAGAGTGTAAAATATTTCAGGAGGTAATAATAGTATGAACCAAAATAAGCAGAAAAATAAACACGGGTCCGCAAAGTAACGGTTGCGGAGATATGGACCACTATTCGTTTTTCAAACATTTTATTTTATTAGGAATAAACCGACAAAGCTTTTAACAAACAAAAAACAAAGTTACAGAAGATGTTCAAAGTGCCCTCCGTCCATTTCCAAGCAGGCAGGATATCTTCGTCTCAACGATATTCGAACTCTTTCGAAAACACCCTCCTTGGTTTGGATTTCTTGACACTTTTGATTAATCCGTAGCTGTAGCTCTTCCAGGCTATTTACAGGAGTACCATACACTAATGTCTTCAAATATCCCCAAACAAAGAAATCTAGAGGGTTCAGATCAGGCGATCTTGGAGGCCATAAACAGGTCCGGCCTGTTATATCTTTTCCAGTTAACTAAGCTGTCCATATACAGAATAAATGTCAACATTTCAAGACAATTTTCGAAAAAATATTGCTCCGTAAAATATCCTGCTTATATTGGCTCATATCACTTACTTGTAATATACAGGATGTTATGTAATAAATAATAATAATAATAATAATAATAATAATAATAATAATAATAATAATAATAAATAACTTTTTAATTTTCACGTTTGAGGGCCCGTAACTTGTTAACGAAGGCCCCTATGAAAAAATTATATGAAGAACTGATATTATTTTGACCTCATCTATTTGTATTCGACTTTTTTGTATCAAGGACCGGGACACCCTGTATATACAATATACCACCAAACTAAACCTGAAAAATTGAAAGGTTTTTTAAATTCCATAGAAAAATATCCAGATAGACGTATGTTGAAAAAGTTCGGCTATATCAGTCTCTACATCGATCCTGCACATACTCGTGTTTTCCTGCTGATATTGTGAGGCGGAAAAGACAGGTTTAATACAGAAAACAAACTGCTCGACCCCTTGCGCTTCGCTATGAACTCTATATATGGGGAATATGATGTAGAGAAAGGAATGCCTTTGGAATTCGCTCCTGTAGAAATGACAAAGTGTCCAATTTAGAGGTACTAAAGTGGGATTTTATGTCCCTTTTTTTATGGTGGTCAGGAAATTTGAATGCAAATCTTGTTGTCGTCCTTTTCATAATAATTGGGAAGGTTCCATAATGTAATTTAAGGGCGGTATATTCTTGAGGGTTTCAGGGAACACATGTATACCAGGTGTGAAAATTGAGATTATTTCTCTAGAAAAATTTCAGCTTATAAAACCAATGCCCATATGCAGAATAATATACATATACTTAACAGTTATATGGAAAAAATCTATAATATGTAATTCGCAGACACTTATAAATAATTTCAAGCTCATTAAGATATCTCGAGTACTTTTGAAAAAAAAAAATAAGTTTAACGCTAAGGGTTGCCACCCCCGTTGTTCCCTAATTAACGGGGGTAGAAGTCTGAAATTAAGTGTCAATATGTTTTAGATGAATAACAATAAACGCAAGGTAAGAACTCTTCATTAGAGGCTGGTGCAGTTTTTGGGACGCGTAGTAATTTATTTGTTAGTTCTGGGAACGGATGGACCAAAAAGTAAAATATTTCAGTCAACACTAATTTATCTTAAAGTTAATGGTTTTCAAGTAGGCTTAACGTCGCCAAGACCGTCCTTCGGGGAAGGCTTCACGAAATTTAGCAATATTTTTTGAACAAGTTCACTTAAGAGTCGGAGCCATGTGTTGAGCAGGTATAAAGAGAAAAATCGATTTTTTTAATAACGCACGAAACCACGAGAAGAGCGTAGAGGTTCCAAAGTAGAATTAAATCAAATTGTTAAATTGATAGTAATTGGAAAAGAAAGTAATAGATGAAATAGCTGGTTTTTTGGCGGATTTTCCAAGTTATAACGATATATTAAATGAGATCGACTAATCCGTCCCGTATCGCTACACGGAGTCACTAGAGGAAGGCTAGGGTTACTTGTAAGTTTAGTTTCAAAATTATTTAGACAATTGTAAAATCAGTCAATTAGATAACTATTAACATGGCATAGTTATGCGTCCCGATATTTTGGATTCCCGCCAGTAAGTTAAGAACAGAAACGTCTGGACCCAAGAAATGGGCGTGTCGAAGCGAAGTGTCGAATTCACGAGATATATCCGAAAAATGGGCAGTTCTTCCTTGGGTTTCACATTGAGCAGTCTACATAGTTTTAGAGACTCGGATTAATTTAATAATGGATAACGTCATTCCAAATTTTGCTATGGATCGCGCATTCCCTGTCGCGTGTCAATAAAGTAATTAATAATGTTTTTCGAGCCGTTGTGTAGTTTGCTTGTTTGTTTGTTTTGTTTTTATTGTTATTAAAACCCTTTCTGGAAAGTTTTGATGTTTCTTTTTGTTTCTTCCAACCTGTGTCACCCTGTACAGCCAGTTACTGGATTACATTCTACGTAAGCAATGGATGGTAAGTGCTTGAAATTCAATCTCTGAACATACAACATTTCCCACGTTTTAAATTAAAATGTAATGATAATTATAAACTCCCTTTCGAGAACTAAATAGTAAACTCTTTTGAAATCCAGACACATATTTCGCCAAACTTTCCAATTTCTGCTCGCCCCCCTCTCAATTCGTTCCTGTTACATTACCTCGCAAAGCGAACAGGAATCGTCTAACCGAACGGGTCCGATCCTATTTACGATCCAGATTAAATCAGCACCGAATGTTTGTATGTGATTTGTAAATAAAAGGCCGCATTAGTAACACACGACCGGACTGTCTTCGTGTGTTCGTAATGCGAAGCGGGGCAGAGCATTTAATAACTGTACCGGGGCTGACCCCTCCCAGCCAGTGCTCACTGTAGAGAGAAATTGCCTATTGAATCAACGGTTCGGTAACTGTCAAAATGATCCTGCGGATTACTTACGTCTGCCTCCTTTGTTGCGTCTTTATAAAGTTACATTGTGTTTCGCACACACTTCCATGCGCCCCAGCATTACATTTAGGCAGTCGGGAGGTGTCCGCATGAAAAAAAATTGGTGCCCCTCTCAGGAAAATGGGTCGCGACTCGGTTCTATTCTTGTATTTTCATCCAGAAAGGTCTTGCGGCAAGTTTAGGTGTGACATTTACCGAAGTATTTGAGTAAATCGATACAATAAAATTGCATGACTTAGTTTATTAATAGTAGATCTTGCAAATTCCTTCTGGGTAAATCCACAGCTTCTTGGATCATTTCCTCATCAATCCTCTAAAGAATACATCCAATCTAATGGGTCGTCTTTAAATATTAAAAAGTTCAAAATGACACAGTAGTTGACAGTTTGTTAACAAATTGCATAATAACGGAACAACTTAGCTGTGATTTTAAGAGCGAGATAGAGGACATAATTCAGTTGGGGCACTTTAGTTTCCTGCCGCCTGACTTCTGAATCAAGAAGTGAAACTTTAGCAGGACCACGACGGAAACTATATATCACGCTTATATGCTTCAGTAATATTTCGTTTTAGTTGTACATCCAGCCACTTGATACATATACTAAATAATAAGTGACAGAAATATCTTATGAATATTAATTTATGCAATTTAAGGAGGTATATCGGGGTCTGAGGGAACTGAGGACCGCAGGGGGGAGGGTCCTATGCTTTTCTTATGGGACTAAAGCCCGCTGCCAATTTGAAAAAATTAAATTCTATTGAAACGTCCTTTAAAAATGAATTAATTAAATTAACTTTATTTATAACGAAACACGCCCTGTCACAAGCAAAACATTTAGAATATTTTCATTTTTATTAGAGAAAGTCGACATCCGACTTCCGTTGCATATCGGCGTACATCATCTTTGTCTGTATGAAAAAAGATCGATAGATTTTAATATATGATGCTCGGTAAACATTCTGTTGACTCGACTGAGATATGCCTTTGCCCGGAGCTATATTTCCAATTTGGACAGCGACGAGAATTCAAGGATTTACATTTTCCTTGCATCGTACCATGAGATGACGAAACAAGGGATTAGTAAAAATATAAATTCTACAATAGAAAATATATAAAAATATTTGAGTGTGGGTAAAACAACAAATAAAACAGGATTTAATTGTAATCTACAATTCTGATACATATGTGTACAAGTAAGGCAAAGTTCAGTGTTATTTGTAACAACGATATACTTAAACATAATGCTGTATTACTATGCCACAAATGAATCTAAACATGTGGTCTTCTAGACTGCTAACAGAGTTCTCCACATGTAATAATTGCATTGCATGTCAATGTTGTTATTTTAAAACGCTTCAACTCTTTCTTAGTTCACATACCGCCATGAAATGGTGCCAGTTTGCTCTACCACTTTGCTCCTTGTGAAAAAAACTGTTAATCTTCTCTATCCAGTATCATATACAAGTTGTATATGTACAATCAAACAATTTCCCTAAATGCATTGTTGGTCTATTATAGTAAATATCTACTCGATGAAGACGTCTGTTCCAACTTTATATTTAAATGTAAAATGGATTTAAATTCGATGTTCTTACGTTTATGTGCGTGTATTTTTCTCGGAATAAGGCAATTCACAATCATCGTGTCATTTGCTGGGCCATTACTTCGTGTCTTGTGTTTGTTTATTGCTTAATTTCATTAGCGACGAGGAACGTCAGACAATAGAACACACCTACTGGAGGAAGCTGTTAGGAAACGAAATAAAAATAAAGCCATCGGGTTGTATTCTTTTACATCGGTTTAATTTATGTATTACATCGACCTAGCCTCGTAGCATGCGGTTCTGTTGCAATACTGCCTGTAGAAGATATGACTTCGGTTTTCCAAGCAGGCAGAATCATGCAGTAATTTTGTTATGATTTTTTTGAGAACTCCGTATATAAAAGACTATTTTTTTTTTAATAGACTGTCATATAGCCGACAGCCATAATAATTCTCGAAATTGGGACGCATTTGAGCACATTTAATATCGCTGAAAAACCCGACAGTTCGCTGAAAATAAAACCTCTTGATGTCATTTCCGTCACCGCCAATATATCGACGAAAAACCGAGGGACCATTACCGTCATCACGAGAGCAATAAATGACCAATATTGACCCAACTACATTTGAACCCGTCAAATAAATCCGATATTAGCCACTCCCTTACCGTTGTCGTAGCACAGACGGGACATTTCGTGTCCCGCCCTCCTCACAAAAACTAAATATCCTGTACAGGATGCGTCTAATTGCTTCCAGGTCCTATTTGCTTTGTGTAATTTTCAGTGACTGTAGTGCCTTAATGAAAGAGACCAAGGTTGGACGTTGCTGTAAACTTTTATTGTGTTTTTCAAGCGTTAGAGAGAGCTTGCCGGTTTATTAAAAATGTTTTCGCTTCGGTTTGGCCTTGGGTCTTTTTCGAGTTTTTATCAAGCATCAGATGAGAGCTATTTTAAAATCCAGGCCTGGGCAAAAAAATTGGAAATACGTAAAAATTTTATGTACAGAGTGCCCCATTGTTCCATGTTTCCACAGTGGTTTTACCATACATTCACAAACTCCAATTTTCGATTTTAATAATTAAAATATAAATTTGCAAAGTCATTGACGAAATCCTTCCGGTAAATATTGTTCCAGACGATATTTTAATTAAACGAACTGCCTTAACAAATCGCGCAGCAACACGTGAGATTAGGGTCGGGCGAAAGAATCCTAGTTATTGTAACTGAAATGGAGTATCTCCCAAACTAAATTAAACTAAGGGGGTGTCTTAATACCTACCACCCTTGTTATTTAAATTGTTGCCAGCCCTTTCGCTGATATTTATTTCTCGGGATTATCACCTCTCAAATGGACCCTAATGGACGAGTACGAAAGGCACAGTCTCTATTCCGGTCGGCAGATATGGATCTAAGGGATGCCTAGCGTCAGGCCTTTAGATTTGTTAAGTTGATTGTAAAATTATTTTTCATTACGTAAGGAATCCCTTATCTGATCGAAAGAGGTGTGAATAACAAAGTGGGAGCTATTTCCATCTGAATGATGTTTCCGAAAGATTGGGATTATGTATACGGGGTTTTTCACATAACCCGTTCATTAAATTTTTTAAACTAGCAGTTACAATAGAAATTTGAAATTTTGAACGCCATCTGGGTTCAATTCAGTCTTTTTAAGCGAAATATTTACAAGTCTGGGGTGCTTCCGGTTTAATTTAAATGGAATATCCCATTTTTTACATCATTTATCGATTCCTTGAGTTATTTTGAGTAGCCATCCATGCCTTGAAAATTGATGCTGAAAGTGTCATACTTGCATTATTAGTAGTATGTTATGTATTCATAAAATATGTGCCACATTTGACCCAGCTATGTACAGGATCCTCAAAATTTCGCGGCCACTACAGTAATCTCAAAGACTGAAAACTATATATTTTTTTTCAATTGGAACACCTACAATTTTATTAGTCAGGAATATGCAGAATTTGTTTATTAAAAAGAAATAAATGTTGAATTAAAAAAAAGCTACGAAATTATTCATCAACCCAGTACATCGGCAGTTTTGATTTATCTGTGCCCCTCCGTACAAAAAATCTATACTGGTGGCTCGAGCAAATCGACCGTTCGGGTTTATTTACTAAAATGATTCGTTCGCTAAGGTAAACTTTTTTTATGAAGTTATCCGTCAGACGTACGAAATAATTTCTTCTTGGAAAAATATTTGGTTAAGAAAATATTATGGAGGGGTTTGGAAGAAAAATATACAAGGTAAGTAATCCATAAATTTCACATCCACTCTAAAAGTTTGAAATTAGCAAGCTTTTTTCTGAATCTGTCTATAAAACGAAACTATTAATATTCCGTAAGGTTCACATCTTGGTTATTTATTGTATACGTGTTTTAAGTAGCATTTTATCCACACAAGAATGATTCAGACGGGTCATATGTGTGGATAAAAGTTCGATTATAATGTGATTGTGGATATACTTATTTTAATTAACTCCACAGCCACCCTGTATATGATAAATGGTAAATTTAATTATCATAAAGTTATATTACACGTACATTTGTCAAATTATTTCACGGCAATTATCACTTACTTATTGCAGTACCATATCCGAGCGAGGTGACAAGAGCCTCCGGTTAACACCGACAGGAATGACTTGGGGACGGAGATCGACTCGAAAGCAATAACATTTTAAGTCTTGCCGTCGTCCGTTAGAAATTTACACTTTCATTTATCGGCAACACTCATGTATAAATAATAGATTCGATTGCCCAATAATTGAATAGCTCTGGTGTAAGACTGATTTATAGTTGGGCGCACAAAAAACCTGCCTACCAGTTGCGAGGCTTTAAAAGAAAACTGTAATCCGCGCCATCACTGTGTCGAGAATATGACCGGAATGAAAAAACTGAGAATTTGAATTCGGATGTAGCTGCATTCTTTCATATTTCAAAGGGATGTAATTTCGAATAACAATAAGCGGCACCCTCTCCGCATAATTGTACTTCGCGCTTTTCCTGCGTTTTTGAGAGGAGATTATTTCGCCCCTTTCCCGCTTTCTGAATCCGAGCCGCGAGTTATTAAAAAAATCATTAATTACGGACGGCAAAAACCCAAATTAATTCGATTCCATAATTCCTCCTTCAGCGTCTACCGTTTCCGTCAGCGTCTCGACTTGTCTGCCTCCCGGGGTGAACGTAATTAACCCCCGCGGGGTCAAATCAAACTAGCTCGGGTGCGCTCTCGAAGAAAAAAAAGTTTGCCTCCCGCGCCAAAGTTTGCGGCTAGCGGTATTAAATGTATATTAACTGCTAAGAAATATTGTTGAAAAATCTTGTGGGCGCCTGTCGGGAGTTGGGAAAGCAATTTCGGGTAGTTCCGAGAAGTCGAGAAGTGTGTGGAAAATTTTAGGAGGAAAAGACTTGAAATATTAAGATGTGCGCGAGATCCTTGATCCAATTAAAAGTCCTAAAACGAAAATTTTGGGATATAATTCAGTCTTGATTTAAATAAAGGTTGAGTGATTTTCGGGATGGTTGCCTCGATCCGCCGAGGTAAGTATCACGGACGCAGGCTGGAATTTGGATGGGTGACCTAAGGCAGGCTCGGGGACGTGGCTGTGGCAGCCTACCAGAGACCTGGGTCGCTCAACATTTTCCGCATGCGTGTAGTCCCCGATAAATGGTAATGAGAACAGAGCAAAGAAAATCTCTGTAACTCAAGACCATGCTATCATACATAAACTGTCCGAGACTTTGCCACCAAGCCACCCGTGTTGTAAATAGGATGGTTTGAAGAAAAGTAATCGAGTAATGAAGGAGCAAATCCGGTAGGGGCATATAGCTCTCGGAGTAGTTGTTTCTCGCAACACTGACAATTCAAAGACATCTCGTAAAAGGCATATTGCGTTCTGAAATAAACATATTAAGCTCAAGATTTTGTTTCTGTTAGTTAGCTGTTTAGCTGTGAAAACAACTGGTCAATTTGAAATATGTGCGATTTAATATTGAAACAGAAGAAACAATAAAACGGTGACAGCAAATGAATTCAAACGATTACAGACACGGACGACGGACGCTCCTGAAAAATACACAAATGTCAATTTAGCACCATCAATCACATTGACTTTAATTTTACCAAAATTTAATTGCTAACGCTTAGGGAATAAAATTGCCGTTTCAATATCTCTATATTTTGGCCCTAGAATACGTCCCTAGACTGTCTGTACACCCTTAATAAACACCCTGCATATCTGACTATAAGCTTACTTGATGATTTCAAGCTTCGAAAATAGGTCACGACGTTTTGTCGTTGTGAGGAGTAATAAAATGCATCCAGTGTGATAATGATATTCAGGACACATGTGGCACGTGAATAACTTAAATTGTAAATCACTTTACATTGTGGTTCCACCTTTTTATATTAATTTCTCATCTGTACATATGATAATAATACGGAATCTGAAATAGATCGCTTGACAGCTCTAGTTTGCGTCTTGACCTTGTTTACACACCGATGGTAAATATTGATATTTACTCTGCCTCATGATGTTAATAATATGTTGTACCAAGGTATATCAAGCAGGTTATGAAATACCTCGAATTGTTTGAATAGTTTCACGTTAAATGAGCAATATCTTTCGCACAAGATTATAGAAAATTTTGAAACTAATAGAACCAGTTTCATCACGATACGTGGTAGAGATAATTAAGGCCCAATATTATGAGAAATAAACAAAAGTCAGCTAACTTTTGGAATTTTACTTTAATATATTTGAGAGAGTGTGAGAATAATCAAGGAAATTACTTTGCGAAGCCACACACATCTCATATCTCTCACATGAATAATTCTGTTTAAGCTTCTAAGATTAACCGTTTTAATTTTTAATTGACTCTTATGTAACTTGAGATTGTTTAACGCTTAATACTAAACCAGGAAACCATTTGTTCGTACCCATACCGCATATGGTTAAAAACAGAAGTACAAGCCGTGTCTAGGTGTAAATTATCAGTTTTTAGTGGCTCGTTAACACAGCATCACTAGGAAGTGTACTATTCTAATTGCAGTAATATAAATATGTTATGTGTTTCCTTTAGTGTAATAACGATAATTATTTTATTATTATTATTTAGTGAAGGTTACGAATAAAGGATAAGACATTTAAAATATGTCCTAAATAGTGTAAAGAAATTGTAGATATGCTATGCAGATTTTTTGTCTTCTTCCTTCAAATATGTTTCTATATTCCCCAAGTAGATATTTTCTTCTTTTAAACGCATACGAATGTCACATGTATGGAAAAATAAAGTCATATCTTAAGAAAATCTGTTTTCTGGTAATGAAATTTTAAATTTGCATGTACGTCTAGACAACGCGCTGGATCTGGTTCGGGCTCACGGAATTTAAGATATCAAGTCCAATTTATCATCTCGTGACAAAAGTCTTTACTTTACATCCAGAGACGGCCATTATTTTTTGCTGCTTTTATTAAAGTAATTCGGAATGTAACCATTGTATTTGACTTTTATGGCCTAAGAACGTGGCATAAAAATGGTACGAACACCGTCTTCGGGCGCTATTATTCAAGAGTTTATTGCCCTTACCGGATAAGTTGCATTAATATTCAAAATAATTCTACTTCTGTAAAATAAAAATACCGACACGGATAAGTTTCGGACTCGGGCCTGGTGCG